TCACGTATGGAGCATGCTGGTTGAGCGTATTCGAAAATTCTGGGAAGGTGCTTTGCGGGGCAATCGTGACTGGTACGCAGTCTAAACGCCGCAACAGTTTCGATTCTTGACCAATCGGCTAGGTTGGAGAGTGCCACAGCCCACTGGTTCTCCTTTATTCGAGTTTAAATTCGTTGCAACTTGAAGTTCTGAATTCTCTTCTGATTAAGGTTTTCATTATGTGGAAAGATATCGACCGGTCCATGCCTTGCAAAATTGTAGTCCCCTTCTTATCAAGTGTGTCAGAGTGCTCATTGCTTATAATGCCACAGTGTCCGGAGATCCATTGAAGAACTACAATTTTGTTTTTTTTCTCAGTAACCGATATAAGTTTTCACATTCGTACATCTTGGACACTTTGGATTGCTCACGTTTTCAATTGAATTGATTGTTGCCTACGAGTTCGAAAGAACTACCGCATTGGAGCAATTAATAACCAGGCANGTTCTCCTTTATTCGAGTTTAAATTCGTTGCAACTTGAAGTTCTGAATTCTCTTCTGATTAAGGTTTTCATTATGTGGAAAGATATCGACCGGTCTATGCCTTGCAAAATTGTAGTCCCCTTCTTATCAGGTGTGCCAGAGTGCTCATTGCTTATAATGCCACAGTGTCCGGAGATCCATTGAAGAAATACAATTATATTTTTTTCTCTCAGTAACCGATATAAGTATTTACATTCGAATATCTTGGACACTTTGGATTGCTCACGTTTTCAATTGAATTGATTGTTGCCTACGAGTTCGAAAGAACTACCGCATTGGAGCAATTAATAACCAGGCAGCACAATTGGCTTAGAGGTAACTTAAAGGCCTCCATTTCTCCTTCGAATGCAGATGCATATTGTTCTGCGGCTGCAAAGAAAGTGAATTGTTAAGAGTAAACACCTGCATCACGTATAACCCGTTAGTGAAGACTTGGAACCATTGGTCTGCAGGCGAGTTTACATTGATTGCCTCAAGAGCCAATGAGCACATTTGTTCTGAAGGGGTATTTGCTTCCCTAAAATTTTAAAGCAATAGGGTGCGAGTTTTTACATCAGTGTTCACCAATGGGCTTTGAGCTACTTCTTTCTTCAGTTCCATGGCTTTCTGTATTTTGCCTTATCGTGTTTTTAGGCATCTTGGTCTATTTTCTCATGTGCTGAAGAGTTTGTCCCTGAGAACGCGCAATAGCTTGTCATACAGGATCAAAGCCTTCTCTTTGATAAAGGAACTTATTGCTGTGTTCCCTGTAACTAGGAACATTGCAATAATTGGCGCTAATTTTATCCCTCTAGTATTTAGTCGTAATGCCTGGTGGTGTGTCTTCTTGAGTGACTTGAAAATCACTTCAGAGGCTCTAATGAGTGGCTCGCAGCTGAACAAATATTTTGTGATGTTAATGGTTGAGGTTGCACTGCCCGTATACTAACTGCGAGGCGCTTCAGTGCGTTCAGTCTATTAGAGGCTCGTTCTGCTATTTAGTAGTCTGACTTTCCATATTGGCTTTGTGTTAAAAGTCACTCGGATATAAGTGAACTCATTGATTTTTTCTATAGAAGTTTCCTTGTACCTTAAATGCGGATTAATGTTGTGGTGAGCCAATGAAAATGTTTAGAATGCGGTTTTCGAGGTGTTGATAACCGTTGTCTTATTGTCGCACCAGTTTGCTAATACTTTAAGTGCAATTACCTCCCTCTTCTGAGTGTTTGTCTTTGGGGGTGGGGGNGGGGGGGGGGGGGGGGGGGGGAAGGGGAAGAATACCATAGAACAAGATCACCTGCATAAGGTAAGCACTTGATGCCCTTGACTGTCTGCACCTGTTCAGCTACGTCATTGATGAAGACGTTGACAGGAGTACAGCTTGTGACAGCTCCCTGTGGTAGGCCTGTTTACAAAGGCTAGAGTTGGACAAGCCTTTCCATATCTGACTTTTCAAGGTAATGGTTGATGCACAAGTTCCATGCAACATTTTTTGGAGGTATTAACTATGGTTTTATAAGTTTAGACACTTGAAAGTTAAGAAAGTCTAGGTTCATTTTTAAGTCCCAAGTTTGTTCGGTTATTTAATTCTGAGATAACAACTAGACTCTAAGACAAAAGAAGAGAGAACCCACCAAGATTGACTCGTGTACGTTGAATGACTGATTTTGTCCAAGATCAACTGGGTCATGTGAGCTTTCATAAAAGTAACTTTTGACGCAAAGTTACTTAAAAAATTTAGCTTGCATATTCTTCGCCATATGAGATGAGATCCTTGAAAATTATGAATCATATTAAAAGATTGCTATTGCTGTTGTTGTTGTTAAGTCAATCACGATCGTCTTATCTTTCGAAAGTGCACTTTACCCTCGTGGCACCCAGATAAATAAATAGAAAAATTCAGAGAACTCACAATGTTCAAGACAACTCAATGTTTTATTTATAATTTTATTATAGCTAACAAGAGTGGAATGCTTGCACTTGATCTAATTCGCTGAGAAATTTGTGTTTCTTGAGTCAATTTATCAAACTCAATTCATGCCATCATGAGCAATTTGTGGAGTGAAAAAGTTATCAAAACAAAATAATGAAAGGATGACCCAAAAGTTTTAGCACTCAAAAATATTTATACAACATAAAATAGCCAATGATCTTGCCCTAGCAACTCCAACTTTGTTTACTAGACAATGCTCATCATGCAGTGACACTGCCAACTGTTGACAAACAGTTCAGTAAAGTGGAACCATATGGATGTGATGACCCATTTCAAACAAGATGACAGGTGAAGTAGAAACTTTCGCTGCATTCTGTAAATTGCAGGGTATTATGCCTTGTCAAGTCGTGTGAATTAATTTTGTTCAAGAACAAATAGTTTTATTCATTAAGGCATTGACTGAGGAACAGTTACCTACAGGTATAGTTAGGGAATTGTCTTGAATTTTCACGAGTGATAAATCGTTTTAGCTATAAAATCGACTATTGTGATTGCGAAAAGTAACCAAGGTGTCCCTTTTCGAAATTGTATTGAAATTCAAAAATTCTTCCAATTCAATTGAACTTTGCAAGGAGAACGAAATCGGACTTCTGAATTGCCTGATTACGACTTATGTTAGCAATTGAGATCAAACCAAACTCACCACTAATTCAAGATTGTATTGATGATTAGTTAGCTTAAGATTAATGGTGTGGTAAAAAAGCTTAAGCATTGTAAAATTGAAATTACGAAATTGAATTGAATTAATTAATTGATATGGTACATTCCCTTGCTGTGAAATCAGATAAAATCCAATTATTCTATCAGATTAATAAGTACGTTAAATCTATTGGCAAATTAGCATCGAAATGAGTGAACCGGATTACTTTGCTTTGCACACAACTTTCTCACCACCTTTCAAAATCAACGTCAAATCCTTCACCAAAATAGCAGCCTATTGGATTGAAGAGATGTGGTGTGGGGCTGGGGCGATATGGCAAACTGTCAATGAATACTGTTAAAATTGGGAGAATAGGGTTTTGAAGCTGATGTGTCACCAAAACCAGTCACTCAACTCTGGTTCGAACAAAGTATTGCAACACAATGGAATATGCACCTTGTTTGGTGACTGTAATTCCGCTTCAAAATAAACTTTTCATCCTCGTGGTGGCCAATATCAGCTAAGTATTTGACGACTTCATTACACACTAGTTTGTTATGTTCACTTCAGAACTCTAGGTGGGGAATGATATCAAATTCTGATTTCACTTTGGTGAATCATGAACGCCATGTGTAAAGCTTGAGATGCATCAGTTATTTCAACTTTAAGGCTAGCATCACGTTCAGCGGTGATATTTTAGATAGTGGAAGTGCAGGATAAGTCTTTATTCGTATTATTGCTCATAGAAATGTACTGAGTGTGTGGCTTTGAATTGTGGGAAGCAAATGAGATCAGATGTCAAAGTGAGCAAACTAAAATGTATCAAGACGATGGGGAGTGCAACTTCAGAGTATGAAAAAGTCTTGCGGAAATCGAATTGCAGTAGTTCACGTTCCACAATGCAGTGGAGGTGATGCTTATCATCGAAAACCAAATTATTAGACAAAGTAACAACTTTTAAGAGGGATACTTTAGGTACTATATTGAGAATTACTCTCTATGGTTGAATATGGAGCGAGCATTAGAAGCAAAATTAATTCAGGAGAAATTGATAATGGCGATCGAATGGAAATGCAAAAGAAGTTCCGCAAATCAGCAGTATTTCATTTCGTAAGCTCTATCATGGTTTGAGTACATAAATGATTGAAGATTGAACGAAATTGGAAGTGATTTGTGTCAAGGCTCAAGCGAACACGTGATAAGAAAACAAAGGGGAAAGAAGATGGAGAAACGGCGGATTCAAAATCAGTAGCAATTTTAGCACTCACAACTAAGCACAGAATGAATCCATCATCCCACAAATTAGTGCATTCTTCAGATCTATTAGCTAGAATTGATGCACTCCGATAATAAGATGGTAGGCGATTTGGTGAAATAGTGAAAGTATACCTAAGCATTAATTTTTGGCCTCACTTAGAAACTGTTTATTTCCTTACATTGAATTCCTCTTAAACACATGGGAATCTTATTAGTTGTTGCGCATGTGTTGTTTCAAAGTTGAAGTCCGTAGTTTGGCTACTATGATTATAAATCTACTTTATGCTACAAAAGAAATTTATCATTTTTTAGCTTATTTCACATTTATATGTAAATATTATTAATTTTGATCGTTTTTTTCAGATGTGTTCAACGCAATTTTCATTTAGAACTAAACAAGTCATGAAAGGTCAAGCAAAAAATTTTGACGTCAAGAGTTTTATTTTGGCGCAGAAAAAGCAGAAAATGAAAACTCAAGAAGTGTGGCCTTATCAATGCAGTGAAGTGAGTCAAGTAGCCAAAAATGGTGGCCTCGTCATATGAGAAGACCTATTTAAATGGAGAAGAAGTAGGCGTTCACCAGTATTATTATTTCAGATCACGCCAACTATGTCATCTTGGTTCTTCTTTCTCCTCTTGGCAATTGTTCGATTGCAGGCGAAGGCACACAGTGGTGAGCAATACTTGATAGATTTTCTCTACTAACCAAATTGTTATGTTGATTTCCCATTTCCTTGAAGTAGTTACTATTATTCTAGAACGTTTGTTGAGCCTACGTCTAGGCTATTTGGTCAGTTAAGACATGCGAAATCCAGGCAAATTGATATAGATTCGCCAATTTCTGTTGGCTGTCCAAAACAGTTAGTTGAGACTTGTCGATAAGTATTTTATCAGAGCAAATCAGTACAATTGAACACCTTTACATGATATCATATATTTTTTCGCTTTAGCTGGCAAGTATAAACCAATATGCAATGAAATAAGTCTCTTGAACTCCAGCAGGGCTCGACTCAAATGGATCCCGCTAGTGATGGAAAATGAAGAGGTTGTCAGTTTTAGAGTTTTCTACTTTCATGATGGCGCCCTCTCAATGACACTCACCTCTGAAAACGAATTGGAAATTCCCGTCAATGAGAACGACACTATGATCAGAGCAGTTGTGAGAACTGTTGCCGAATCTGACGTTTGGACAGGTGAATACAACGAGGATCCGAAGGAATGCAAATTCAACTCAAAACGAAGTAATGACAGCATTTTTCGTGTTATTTTATCCTTTAAAATTCGTCACATTACTTAGCAAAAAATTGTTTGCCCGAAATGTTATTTAGCCATTGCCGTAGCTTAAGTCGTTGGTCGAAAAATATCCGACGTTAGTATTCTAAATGAGATAGTGAGGCAAAAGGGGGTTTCCATTGACAGATGAAATGTGAAGGAGTCGATGAGGATGTGTGAGGAAGTCTCTGAATTTTACTCAGGTACATCCTATCTATTCGACGATCACTCACCACTAAGCACCATCTCACAAACGATACAACTAATTTCCACATTGATAGCACTTGTCAATTGTATTCATGCCATGATGGAAGAGTAGAATTAACTGATCATTTCCTTTCTTTCCCCTTTCAGCTGACACTTTTCGACATCAACTCTCTGATCCAGACAAGGAGGGTAAGCGTTTTTCTTGAAATAAAAATTATCTCTCTATTAAATTGCCCATTGAATATTTCCTAGCCATAGAAGCATGCTGAGACGAATTTGTGAGTGTTTATCCGTTTGGTGAATTAATGTGAATTGCCATCATTTTGAGTAACTTCGATCGGTTCAAAAATTAGGTTGGCCGGAGAAGTGAAATTAACTTGAGAAACGATTAAATCCGAAATGTTTATTCAGTTGGGTTAAGTAATGCGTTTATCGCTCATTGTGAGTATTTTCGTTTTATTGTCAGAAATGGGCCTGCTTACCATAGATTAGCATTTGGAATATGCGAATCATCTAAACAGAGTGAATACTGTAGAGGGAAATGAAGACCCAGAAGAGAAAGTTGAAAGAGTTCCAGCAAAGTGAGAAGTGACTGTGGGATGCTGAAGTTTCATGCAACAAGGAAGAAGGTGAATTATGGTGTTGAAAAGAGGATGAAGATAATAAGTGAAGATACAAAATGATGCCCAACTGAAATATGCCTGCAAAATGTGATCAAGGTGAGGAAATTGAAAGTGTGTAGAGAGCAACGTAATGACATCAAGAGTCACTCTTAAATTTTTACATTTTAAGCTGAAATCTATTGCTTAGGTTGGTCATTCCACTGAGTGATTACCAATCATTTGCATTAATGGATGTGCTTTAATGTGCAACAATAAGCGATCTCTTTTCTCACCAAACACATCTTTGCTCATATCCCAAAGCCATGCCTGAACTTAGCTTCAATTATGTTTCAAATAACATAATTATTAATCACAATAGATCCCCTTGCGCCAAAAAAACGTCGTTTTACTTCCTGCTGAGAGGAGGACGGTTGCGTTGACTTGGCAGCCACCATATGTTGACCAAGACGAAATTCTGGGATATCAGATTCTTTACAGTTACGGTAATGGAGTAAATACCAAAAATGTAACAGGAGAAGATATTCATCTATCGTTGCCCATTGAGGGAGATCCTATTGGCATTGAAGTCAAAGTTGGAACGATCAGAAGGATTGATTATGTAAGGATTGAAGCTGAGACGCCAACTCAATCAGAAGGAAAGTTTTAATTTTTTACCATTAATTATTGAAATTCACCATTAAATGTGTCCAATTTCGCTATGACTTTCTACATAATCTGCTAATTAAAAAGACCTATGAGGTGATTTCTGCAAAATCCGCATTTGTGAATAAGTGTCCTATTGGTTATGCGCTAATTGGAAGTCATGTTGTGAGCAGAGTTTGGCAATAGGACAGAGGTAAAAGGGGAAATGAATGTTCCTTCTGATGACTGCAGTCGTTGTAGAACAAAACGAATGTGTAGGAATGGAGATTTACAAGTTTTGGAGGAGTAATTGCTTTCTGGTAAAGTGTTTGTGCCAAGTTCTCTCCGTAGACTTCCTAATCTGAGCTGCTGAAGATATCTTGTAAATGGGTTCTAGGAGGCACGATTGTTATTCATCAAACCATTGAAGTCAACTCACATGCTACTTGAAAGGCAATAAGTAGAGCTGTTGGAAATCACTAGTCGGGTGATTGGAGTTGAAGTTCTGCATATCTTCGTCATTTAAGAAGCTGAGTGATTAGCTCCTGTTTAGTGAGAGGTACAGCTATTGGCTGTGCACTAATTGGAAGTCATGTTGTATTTTAACCTCGACAGCAGAACAGAAGTGAAAGTGGAAATGAGTGTCCCCTATGATGTAAACTCGTTCTTATTGCGTTTGTTATTACTTTTAGGTCAGAAATTATCTCCAGAAAAGAATGTGTCTACAGTAAATTTTGAAATTCACTATTCTAAGACCATCTTTCTTCCATTAACAATAGATGGTAAGTTTGAGTTTATTTTGATCTCCTATTTTAGCCCAATTTTAAGCATGAATAATATTGTCATGAATATCGCTTTAATCAGTTTGCAAATATTTCCTATCAAGATTTCGTGCTCACGATCCATATTTTTGAATTATCACTCAACAATATAAATGAGATGTAAAGATTTGTAAGCTTAGGATAAAACAAAGGCAGGGTTAATGTCACTTTCTTTCCTCAGCAATCAATGTCTGAGTAAATTTTGACAGTTCCGTTTGCTGTGCCTTGGATGTATCTGAGGTTCAGTGGCAATCAGTTCATATCATCTACTTCCGGATTCCATAATTCCATTCCACCTGAAACTTGCGTTTAACACACTTGACGCTTTATAGTTAATGCTTTAGAGTTTAAAAGGCACACATCCAGGTATTGGTTGAATAGTCTCTTCCTTTCAGAGGCTCAATGGCAACTTCCTCATTGATCAAGTTTGCTTTTGTTTGATACACTCCATTAGAGTTCATATTGAGATCGGTTAATTGGGAGTCGTAATCTGGTTCCATCTTGATAACAGTCGAAACGGTTGCCAATCATCTACCTGATCATTTAAAACAGTGCATTAGGTAAGGAAATGCTGGATTCATTCGCCTCTTCTCTATCACAACCACAATTAGGCATGCTACTCTCTTTGCCTGTGCTCTCCCTACTGTGTCAATTATCCTGCCTAAGATAATCATGCATCTGCTTTATTAGCTACGCCAGTAAGTAATGATAGCTATTCGGACAATCGTTGGAGATACTTGGAAGCGCTTGAGGCATGACAACTTCCGTTCACACTTATGACAACCTCATTCCGTGCCATGACTCATTGCTACCACATTTCAATTGGGTTAAGGGTTAAATGTTGGTGTCACTTTTTCGAGTCAATCTGCAAGGGCTGAAAAACGTTTTTTTCATTTCCGTCTGTTATTCATTGGAAGCAATTATGCTGATAATTCATTTGAAGCATTCGTGCGACTCACTTGACACTTTAGTGGAAATGAACCTGGTTGCTGAAAGGCACATTTCGAGTGATTGGATGGATAGTCTCGACCTTTCAGGTGCTCATGCATCTGCGTTTTCAATTGCCCCAACGGGTTATGAAGACCAATCAAATAAACCTTTGGGACAATTGAATGCGCCAGAGACATGGCCAGTTCCAATCACCTTTTTGACAATCCCACTTCGTGTCATGACACTTTACACCACATTTGACCAGTCTGCTTGACCAATCCGATCAGATTCCCTCTTGTGAAGCCTCAATCAGTAGATGCGTACTTTGGGTGTTGAACCAGTGACACAATGGATTGTGGGAGAATGAATGCAATTTTCACAATTAATTGGGCTCTATTAAGAGGCCATTCGAACTGAACAGGGGTTGTTATCAATTTTTAATTACAATTAATATTGCTTTCTAATTACATTGTGTTTAGTATTTTATCGCTGATATTTAATGAGATTTTCTGGTTTTAGGTCCAAACCTTCCATGTTATGTTACATTAAGGAAGGTTGGTGCAAATGTAATGATAGTATGGCAGCCTCCAAAGAATGTGGACCCTGATGGCCTACTTTACAATATTATATATAACTTTGACAACAACAAAACACTAGAATCTAAAATGACTACGGAAAAGAGTTATTCTCTGTATATTCCTCAGAATGCTCAGGTTGTGAAGGTTGCAGTAGGAGTTTCACCGTACGAAAGGTTGAGTTCAACTGGTGCACCAATTTTCACTGTCTATTCCTCGTTTAAATATCTGGACTTGCGAGGTAAGACTTTGTCTCAGAGAAGTGGAAACGTCGTTTCCTAAACATACATATTCCATCAATTCATAGTGCAGTTGAAATATTAATGCTCATCACAACCCCGATTAGCTTCTAGTGGGTTTTAAAGATTAATTATCACCGTTAAAAATCACTTGAACATGCTATGCTGTTGGGTTTATTGCTAACTCTACGCCGAAACACAAACTTTTGATTCATTTGATCAATTATTTCGCATTAAATTACCATTCTCCATTTTGATCATTTAGAAAACGCTGATACTATTTCAGTAAGTGCTTTTTTGCATATTTCTTGGATTCATGCTCACTTAAATTTAATGAAAAGGGAGAGCTTTCGAAATTAAATTGATTCTTCCTTTTCCATTTCCTTAGGAGAATTCTGTAGACCAAGACCAAAGTGTTCCTGCAGAATAGAGAAATCATGTATGTTTGTCATTTATTTTCATACTCTAATGACTAACATCATTTCCACATTCGACGTGCTGCGTGTTACACTGAAATGACCTATTTTGATTCATTGTATTTAAGTAAGATATGGGCTTACGCTTTTTCAATAAAGGGGTTGAAGAAATGTGGTGTCCAAAGTAATTAGCTTCCAATAGTGATTTGGTATGAATTAATCCTATTCCCGATAAACGGTAATTATGTACGCAAATATCCAGAGAAATTTGACGTGACAATTTTCTTTCTCCACTGATGACTTGATTACTTGATTTACGTTAATCGGAGCATTAAGATTTCATAAGCCGTGTTCATGATCAGAGCTAGTTCTCACCCACAACGTGGAGGGATCATTGGACGATTCTAGTCTTGGTAGTGGGGATAGCAACTCAAACTTCTTCTTTCTTAAATGGTTTGGAATTTAAAGCTCTCTTTCGTGTTACTGAACAGATCTCCCGTCTCAACTTATCGCATTTGAAATGGTAGTTGATTCTAAGAAATCAGATCGCAAAAAGACATTCTCTTACCACTGCGGCCAACATTCACTTTGAAATTTTGCCTTTTACACTCTTGTCTCCAATTCAGGTCCAATTTGAATTTGAACTTGGCTGAACGATGCTCATCTTTGCACCTATTTACCCTGGATCCCTTGAAGTTTATACTCATTCCCCTAATAACTCAAACCTTGCATCACATTTGAAATACAGACAATGCAAAAGACATTTGTTGTGTGTTTGTGTATTCGCACCAAGCAGGCGTTAATTGTAGCGTGTTTTGATGCATTCTCAAAGAATTTTTTACATTTACTCAAGGTACTTCTAGTTAGCAAATATCCCATCCATTAAACGAATGGTATATGTTAAATAAATATCAGTATTCATTTATATGTATAAGAAATACACTGCACTGCAATAAACTCTCTTAAGGCACAGCTTAAAATGCGTTAAAGTTGTCAATGATCTCAAGTTACCTTTGAGGTCTTCTACACTCACAAGTATCTGGCATTTTTTCATACGTACAATCCTTGTAAACTAATTGTGCCAATGGGCATATATATCACTTTCAATATTTTCAAATGTTAGTCGTGAAGGCAGAGCCAATTGGGCATTTTAGTCTGATACACTGTGACACCCTACTGCCACTAACAAATATTCAATCCTTCATGAATTTGAACGTTAAAGGTGAGAGTTGGACGTGTGATTTTCGCTATCACATTTGCAGGTAATCCTGCTTTCTTTGCTCCCCATATCTCCGCTTCTTAGAAGTTTCCAAATTTACTACTTAACTTACTTTTGTGGACCTGTAAGCAACATAGAAACAAGGTATATTCATGATGAGATTTCTACCTTCTCACATTTTCTACCTAAAAGACATTTACCCAGTGATCTGTATCGATATGAAAAAGACGGATCTAATGGAGTGGCAGAAATATCTCTGACAACATGGACACTCGAAGGCACAATTACCATCACCGTTCTTCATGGTCACTGATCAAGTAATTCGATGATGTTCAAGGCCAACTCTGAATGTACTGACTGACAGCTATGCTATTCAAAATCATATTTGGGTCGAGGGTCTGAATTTTCGACAATCTCATTTACTTTGCCTGTTAAGCCATATTCAGGTCATCCAAAAGTGGAACATCCGAATGAGTCAATCGATTCGTAGTTGTGTTCATGACTATGAAATGGACTAGATTCGCAGCTTGGTCATATCATCGGAGAAAGCGTCAGTGTTGTATTGCCCAAACAAATCAATTCACCATAGATTGATAGTTACCGCATTGAAGTATTTTTATTGTACAATATGGTATAAACCTGCCCATGTTTTAAGTTGCTTATTCTGGAGAACATATGAACCAAGGATGTTTACTCATAAAGATGCATGTGAAGGTGTCCGGGTTAGTAGACAATGTTTAGAATACGATTTGAAAGTACATTGGTTACCAAGTTGCCCAGTGAGAATCAGTGGCTTGTGGAAAAGACTAACAACGATACACATTTGTGAGATTTGTGTGCAAAAATGAATCGAATAACATGGATAGGAGGTGGGTTCATGTGAAACGGTTGAATATTGGGAGACAAGGATTTTAGGAGAAGAAAAGCGTTAGTCTCATCTGGAGAGACGGTGGCATTATCTTTAGACGTTGTGGATCTATCATTTGGATGGGAGTTTGCATACAAATGCCAGTTATCATATGGGGACATCGGCAATGGCTCATGTAAAACACATCGTAAAGGAATATTGAGGAATTTAGGTGAATCTTTCATGGCTACATTACAAATCCTGTTGCCATCATGTGATGGCTTGTGTCATCTTCGTGTTTAAAGTCTACTTTACTAGGGAAAGGTGACAGTTGGAGGTCTGGGTTATGGTTTCGACTCCATACATCTTCGCAATGACAACTGATGAATAATTGACTTATTGATGCCAAGCCGACTCAAAACACTGTGATAATTGACAACACAAGTATTGACAAAGTTGGAGTAATCTCATAACAGCAAAGCACTCTTTCGTGTTATTAAAATAACAATAGATTTTATATTATGAAATTTTTTAAACTATGTTGAAGTTAAAAAACTTATTTAAATTTTGAGTAAAATTTAATAGAAAACCAAATATCTGAAGGGTTGTAGTTCGAAATTGTCAACTCTCCTTCTTTCCTTCATGGATAAAATACTCATTTTCTCTTTTCTCTGGGTCTACACAATTTGATTCACCCACTAATTCAAATTGTGATAAAACTACCTATTAAATGAAGGTTAATTAAGGAGTCACTCAAAATGAATGAACAATAAACGAAAATAAATAATCACCCTGGATTCTATCAGGACAAGTTGTGTCAACGCTTCTCACATCCTTCAATAAGTCAACCTAACTGATAAAACGAAAAACAATGTACAGAAGATCAGATTGTTGAAGACATTTTAGCCAAATTAATGTTCATTGCAATTGCATGTTGAAAGGCATACTAGTTATAGTGACCACAAGTAGCTTGTCTTAATGTATTCTTTATCACAACTTTCATTTATGCTCGAGAATACAAATGGGCATATTAGTAAACTCACGCCTACTGTATATAGGTATGTAGTAAAAGTCTTATATCATTCTATTACCTTGACCGTTTTTTCCTCCCTTCGACCTGCATTCCACCCCATAATGCCTTCCTCTTCATAAGTTGTTCCCTAAATTTCTTGCTGTTTGCGTTTGCTGTATAACTGGAAAATGGACGATTTTTAATGATGTGGTGCAAAATGGGATGAGAAATTAAATTAGACACCTTCGCGTTATTCCTTGATCAAACTTAACTATTCATCTCCTGGAGGAAGGCACTGTAACAACTAATTTTTGTCTTCCACTGACTCAATTGCCATAAAGCAATATCAAGAAAGATAGATTGGCATTAACAACTATTTTAAGAAATAGAAATTCAAGTTGTAATCCTCACCACCGTTCCATATTCACTCCACGTTTTGAATGAGTACTCGCTGTGATCACATTTATTACTTATGAAATCTTAATACCGTGACGCAAAGTAGTTAGTCAAATCCTAGACAGAGGTTTGAAAATGCCGTCTTAAGTCTTTCTCCATATTTCCTAACACAATTCCACTTCTTCAATGAGCTTCTTTTAACAATTTCGTTGTTATAACTACCATTGAAATTGGGTGCGCGATACACTTTCCTCCACGTGGTGCACCCTGGACAACGTATCTTCATTCGATAAAAAAGTCTATCACTCGGCATTTGATTTGACTTCGATTTTGTCTATCACTCGGCATTTGATTTGACTTCGATTTATTATGCTTCAAAAAGGCTATAAGAAAAATCGCCCTCGTCAGGGCGAGATGGCATTTGATTTGACTTCGATTTATTATGATTAGCTTGAAACAAAACTATAAGAGAAATCGTCTTCGTCAGAGCGAATCACAACGTCTTCAGATACTCCAGTGGAATGTTGGAGGGATGTCACAGGACAAAAAGATTCAAGTCCAGGAAACCCTCTACAAACCTATGATGTAGACATTTTCACAATTATGGAAGCAAACATTTAGGATGACAAACTGAAGTACTACCAATTCCCAGCTCAAATCTATGATGTAGACATTTTCACAATTATGGAAGCTACATTGATGACACACTGAGTACTACAAATTCCAGGTTACACCCTGTACCTTCTACCTAAATACCGGCAAGTAGGTTACACCCTGTGCCTTCTACCTAAATACCGGCAAGTTGTTAACCCTGATGACAAACTGAAGTACTACCAGTTCCAGGTTACACCCTGTACCTTCTACCTAAATACCGGCAAGTTGCAAGTAGAATTCTGACTGGAGTAAGAGAAGGTCTCACGTCATATTATGATCTAATCGAGAATATGAACACGACACAAGACATTTGCGAAATAATCAGATTAGATGTTTGGAAATGTCAAAACCACTTCACGAAATATGCAGTCCAAAATCCACCCCAGAATAGTCCCTACTTTGATTCTCTGAACATCTCACACAAAACTGTAGTATTAGAAGACTTCAACGGTCATTCCACCAGATGGGGCTATAAGAATACAAACATAGCTGAAAAGGA